CAATCGGTATAAATTTTGAAATGACGCATGTTAATTTGAAGTCCAGAGATCTCATAAAGCGACATGTGACATATACATTTGGCACAAAAAGCAAACTTTCCGCCCAGGACGTATAACATGAAAATCGATTGCATCAAAATTTGAATGTGTCTAGTAAACGGTATTTCCAATAAGTGTACATTATTGGACAGACGACAAAAAATTGACTGTTATTTGTCGTACGTACGTATGTTCAATAATGATAGTTAATATGACCATGTGAAGTTTTTTCTGTGATATTTTGCAAAACTGTATCATGCAAAAAAATTCACATGATCATATGAAATGTCGGATAACTTTACTTAGTGGATGAAGTTCGACTTGCTTAGTAAAAAATCATGTTTTCATGAGTTATTTTCGATGCGCCAAATTACCCCCCTGCGCCATTATACCCTATATAGATTTTATATATTGGGCTAGGAATTTGAATATTTTTTTTTTGAGCTTATCTAGAAATATTTTTCATTAAACAAATGCAGTATAATTCTTTAAAGGTTTCATTTTCTTATAATTTATTATAGAATTTATAGTATACAAATCAATTTTCTGCAAAACTTTTTTTTTTTTGTCAATTTCGTCCCTTTTCTTAGCACCAAGCCTATATTTATATAATTTAGTTTACGTAATCTATCGCAGTAAATATTTATAGAAATTTTAAAGAATTCGGGATATATATATACAGTATATGTAATATACAATGATTCGTCGAATCATTGATTCGACTTGGTCGGCTTAGTCGATGTTATTTGAGTCGATAAATCTATGTCGGCTAATTAACATGCAAAAATTACCGATACGTACCAAAATTAGAATTAGTTGAAATTTCAATTTTTTCATATCTCTGATTCTAACTTATGTCACAATTTTTTTCATCTTACCCAACCATCCGAACTTGTGTCGGTATCGCTTCCTGGATTCCTGTAATAATTTGGAGTTTAGATCATGGATACTCTATAAACTCTGTAAGCGGGCGATCTATGCAGGTGAAAACATTTTATAGAAGAAGACAATATATTGTTTAAACCAACTTAGAAAAAAACGACTTAAATATGAGTTGTGTGTTAACGAACTTAAATAATAAAACATTAGCCAACATTTAATCCAGACTCAAACAAACTCACTAGAGATATTGTTTTGTTGAATCGTCAAGCCGCTATTAGTCATAAATACAAAAGGGGTGATGTAGTAACCTTATAGTGTGTATCAACTATTTCATGGAATTTGATGCAATCGCCTCTTTGGTTTTGTATTAAAGATCTTGAATGGGTTTAGCGCGCCAGATGACCCAGACAAGGTGATAACCAAACGAATAATAGCATTAGAAGGAGATACAGTTTTCACATTGCCACCATATCCGGATAAATTTTTAAGAATACCGAATGGACATTGTTGGGTTGAAGGTGATGACGTGTATCACAGCAAAGACAGTAACACTTTTGGGCCGGTAATAAGAAAATAATATTATATACAATTCATATGTGTTAATATGAATCAATCTTTTTGTTAGTTGCTAATTTTATATCATCGGTATTTTAGGTACCATTGGGGTTAATAAATGCCAAAGTAACGCATGTACTATGGCCATTGCCAAGATTTGGTAAAGTTCCGCGTATCGAGAAACCAGGACGAGTTGCTATATGTGCAGAATAGTCGGCTTTTTACATATATCATAGTGTAAAAAAAATCTGTATACCTTGAACGAATGAAACGATAATATTCAAAAACTTTAAAATTTTAGAATATTTTGATATTTCATTCTAATTTAATTCTCTTTACTTTATATTTTTCATTTTTACTTTCTACTGAATCACATGTCTTACGATTTGCAATTTTTACATAATTTCGAACTCGCAATTCTTTACCGCCGCCACCAGTAATAATGCTCGATAAGTTATCAGATGATGTACCAATTTCCGAAGAAACAAATTCTTTTAGCGTTTGTTCGATTTGTGTGAGAAAATTTTTTAACTCTTGTCCAGGATGAATAAAATTTTTCAAAGACATTCCACCAAGATCATTTAATAATGTTGAAAAGAGTAAAGATTTTGTTGCATGAATATACCATTGTTCATAAATATGTTTATAAAGCTTAGAAAGTGTATTAAACATATTATCATCTCGACCGTAACACCATTTCACATTGTCATATTGACAATCGTATAATACTAAAGGCAATTCGCTAGCCATATTATAAATTGGTTTCGCTGGTGTTTTTTTAATATCTAAGAGGTCATCTACAATGGAGGGTTCTTCGAATTTTTGACCAACCAAGAACAAAATAGCCATCATACATCGAACCTGATGCCATAAAAAAGCCGTTCCTTTTAAATCAAATACAAAAAATTCTTCCGTTATTGAGAGATTTGGTTGATCTCGTACTAGGTCAATGCCTACATGAAGTACTGTACGTTCAAAGTTATCGATCTGCTTTGCCCCATCGATCTTACAGAAATTACGAAAATCATGAGTTCCAAGGAATCGATTTGCGGCATCGCGCATTAAATCAATGTCTAAATTTCTTTTTACGAAAAAATATTTGTAATGTCGAAAGCGACAATCGTGTCTTGCATTAAAATCAGGATTTACTTGTGCCCAAGCAATTATTCTTATGTCATCTGGAAGCAAACGGTTAAGTGTTTCAATGTAAGGAATTTCTTCAATCTGCTTTTGATCAGTCTTAACGTCATTTTGCTTGTTGGAAATGTCATCATCCACTGATATAGTTGGCAATACATGCGGAGAATCTCGTGGAAGATTTGATCTAACATCTAATGCTATAACTTGTCCTAAACTACTAACACCTTTATCCGTCCTGCCACATTTAGAAAAATTACATTTTGTAGGATCAGATATTATTCTTGAGTTCATGAGAGCAGAATGCAAGTGTCCTTCGATCGTTGGAAATTTTTGTTCGTCAGCACTCGTCGCAAATCCATGATAATTCCAACCAAAGTACGCTAATTTGAGTGCAATATGTCTCTTTGAATATTTTGACATATCAAATGGTCGAGGAATTTTTTTGCGTTTCT